TATGCAAAACTCTACCCATTTTTTTTTTTTAAATCTAGTTTGGGCTTAGGGAAGGAAATATAAGAGGTTGAAGGGAACTGAATAATTTAACAGTTCTTCCTGCCAGGATGTCTAAACCAGATATAAACATCTACCTCCTTCCATTTCTTTATGATTAATACATAGAAGATTTATTGCTTTGAGCTAGTTTTGCCATCGGCGAATCTTTAATACTTCCTTGCTTTCTCTCAAGGCCATGGTAGTTGCAGCACCCCTCTGTGCTCCCCATCACACAAGGCCACTTTCTACCACACACTACAGGTAAAAGCAAATACTAAATTGTGTAAGTTTCCTTCCTACCTTGTATTATAGTTAACTTTTAATACGTGTGTGTGCGTGTGCATTTGTGTGTATTTTGTAATAAGTTACCCCTAGGCTATTCTTGGGGGAGAGGGGTTGTGTGTGGTGTATTTCGTATATGTATTTTGATGAAGATATTGCATGCTCATAAAGATGCATGCCTATAAAAATCTGAGGCTGTCAACCGAGACTCTTCCTCAATGACTCTCTTCCATACAGCTGAGGCAGGCTCTCTCAATCAAACCCAGAGCTCCTGGATGTGGCTAGTAACAGGAGCCCGCTTGTTCTGGGGATTACATCTTTCTGTCTTCCAAGGCTGGACTTACAGATGGCCACCAACGCCCACCCACCATTTAACATCTACATTTAATGGCTAAGTCAACTTCTCAGCCATGTTATTGTTAAGGGTGGATACTTTTAAATAAAATCGTATTCAGGGTTGGGGAGATAGGTCATAGTAGAAAGCACACTAATACATTTAAAGTTAATTTTATCCCTTGTCAGTTAATTCCCTAATAAAATCTAAATGTGTATCCTAGTGGTATAGACAGTTGTCATACATTGCTTTGAAAATATGACAAGTTTTCCACTGTGGTTACTGATGAAGATAGATAAAAATCACTCAAGTCAGGGGTCTGAATCTACATCAATTAAGTTAGCTGCTTCCTTTTTTCCAAATGTCATTCATCCACTAACATGCAGCTACAATTAAAGGGGTGGTAGTGAGGGTTCACAGGCAGTGAGGCTTGCTCAGCCAGTGATCACATGGACACTGAGATATTTCCATTGCTGATGACTGGAAACCCCGCTAGTCAGATGAATTACAAGAATCTTTGACTATGGGGAGGAAAAGAGAAAAATGCCTTGAGCACTCTATGTGCTTCCATTTATATAACTATATTCCTTCCTAAAATATAATGTTCTGTCTTTACTTTCTTTTCAAAAAGCCATTGTATTTTTCCTATCACATCTTCGAGCAAAATGACCAATGTCCTGGGCTTATTAATTTATCACCTTCTGAACATATCAAACCAAGTAGTAATAAAAAACGCCGAACTTCAGCACCATCCTTTCTGATTTCTGGAAGAGCATTGGACAAATTTATAGTAAAACTATTCACCGAGCCCATCGCGGCTTAGGTGCAATGGTAACAGGTTCCTAGTAACCAGAACTTAAGAGATTTTCACTGTTTGTACTTTGGGCTGATCAATAGAAAGTACATAAGACTGAACGAGAGAAGTAAAGGGAGGCTGGGAGTTCTTTTATGTGGCTAGTTCTTCTAATGCGCATGCTTGTCACAGCCTCCCTGACTTCCGGTTCTGCGTTAACTTGTGTTGAGTGTTTGCCCAGCTGTGTTTAGAGTTCCGCATGACATGGAGTGCTGTACGGTGACTGGAGATAGCGACGGTGGAGATTTTGGAAGTACTTCTAAAAGCAAGTGTACGAGTTTGCTAATAGATTTTGGAAACCCAAATTATTCAGCTGTTCCTGCTGCCTCTGCCTTTTCCAAGCTAAAACAAGGGTGGTCTTGAGCCTGTGCAAATTCAACTCATAGTCAACTCGAGGATCTCAGTGGAGAACTTCCAGTAGAGAGGCAGGAGAGGCAGGCTTGGCAGCCTGTTTCTCTCAGCCAAATAAAATTCTGTGGCGAAGTTGGGAACAACATGGACCCCTTCATTTATGTTCCTGCTCGCCTGTATTTTCTACATTGGTATGAGGTGAACGTTCATAGGACGAGACCAGCAGGCATTTGAGAACTGTGAGGGGTGTCAGGTATACTTTGTAAATGCATGGCCTTTCGAAAGCGGTTCTTAACAGGTCCCTCTGGCTGCAGCCCAACTACTTCTAGCCCAGAAAGAAAAGAAGCATAATTACCATGTTCCCTTGTGGTTTACTTAAGCTATCCCTCCATCTTAATGACAGTGAGGTAATAGGTGGTTGGTTTCTCAGCCACTCATGCTTAGAATGCTTGGGATTGTGTCTGACAATACTGGTTTGCTTACATAAATGGTTTAGCAAAATTTCAATGCCTAAGGTCGGCTTTTTCTTATAAATTCTTTTACATTAAGAGGGGAAAAAAAAAACAAAACAAAAAGAAAACCAGTTGACATTAATTCTGACTCAACAAGGCTCAGGTTAGTGAACTATTGTGGACTGCCAAGAACTTAGTGACATATCACTTTAGAAATGATGGGTGCTTATATTGCACTGACGGTCTTGGCATTGAGAGAGGAAGCTGTTCAGAATGACAAATGGATATGACAATTTATTAAAGATCAAAGGCGCAATGAGCAGTGGGCACAGATGCATCCATTTAGAAAGGGCATAGGAGAAAGAAAACAAAAGATAAAAACAATTCAGAGTGTAGAAATTTAAACTTTGAGATGAAAGGCACATCTGTAGTACATATTAAATTTATTTTTTAGATGCATAAATTCTAGAAATTTAGCAGCTGTGTGCCTTGAAGTTAAAGGAAGACATGCATGAAACACAATTCTAGGGCCTTCATGACATCATCTCCCCTTTGTTCTCTTCTGGTCTTTGACAAGCTACCACAGATTAAGGCTTCTGGTTTGGCCACAGTCCTTCCCACGGTCTGGTTCCCTCCCTCAAATGAAAATGGAAGACATAAAGTGCTAGGACTGAAAAAGATTCCAGACAACTGCATGACTCTGTGGCATTTTGCTAAACCAAGTAAGAGAAGAGACACAGTGCTATTCTTAACAGCACATGTGATTCACAAATCCTGTACATATACACCATGGAATACTAGTCAACTAAAAGAAAAATAAACTCATGCCGGGGTGGCGGTGCATGCTTTTAATCCCAGCACTCAGGAAGTGGAGGCAGGTGGATCTTTATGAGGTCACGAACAGCCTGGTCTACACAGTGAGTTCAAAGGATAGCCAGGACTACACAGTGAGACCCAGTGTGGGGGAAAAAAATGGGAAAGAAAGAAAAGGAAGAAGAAAAAAAAAACTGTGAACTTTGCACTTTGCTAGTAAATGGAGGGAACTAGAAAAGATCATATTGAGTGAGGTAACCCAGAGCCGGAAAGACAAATGTCACATGTTCTCTCTCCTCTGAGTTCCTAGCTCTAAAGCTTCAGATGTGACTGCTGTAGTAACTGCAGAACCAGCAAAGGAAAAGGAAGCATTGCAGCAATGGGTGAACAGCAGTGATCTGAAGGGAAAACAGGGGACTCTGATTAGGAAGGGGGAGGATGATAAATACAGAATAACAAGGGAAGAGAGTAGAGTTAACAGTAAGGATATCTGAAAAAAAATCATGAAAAATCTTACTATTACATACCAAAAAATGCCAAAAAAAAAAAAGCCACAGAAGTCTGAATATAAACATACCTATATACTGTAAATGAAATTTTTACATCTGAGCTGACAGTGCTCTCCCCAAGACCCATAGACAATCTAACAAAAGTTCCAGCACTAGGTATGAAAGCCCTCTCTTGAGCTGCCAGTCAGGTTTGTACAAGAGACTCCCAATATTTTATTGGATTCTACTGTTGCCCTTGACTGCCCCCCACCCCCCAAGCTCAAAGTCCCTTTTGCTGGAGACCATCCACTTCAGACACGGAGCCCAGATGCCCTCTGGTGGTTCGAACAGGAATGTCCCCATAGGCTCATCTATGCGAATACTTAGTCATTAGGGAGTGGCACTACTTGAAATGGATTAGGAGGTGTGGCCTTGTTGGAGTAGGTATGGCCTTGCGGAAGGAAGTGAGTGTGTCATTGCGGGTGGACTTTGGGGTTTCAAAAGCTCAAGCCAGTCCCAGCGTCTCTCTCTTCCTGCTGCCTGCTGATCCGGATGGAGAACTGTCAGCTCCTTCTCCAGCACTACGTCTGCCTGCGTGCCGCCATGCTTCCCACCAGGATGATAATGGACTAAACCTCTGAAATTGTAAGCCAGCCACAATGAAATGTTTTCCTTTAGAAGAGTTGCCGTGGTTGTGATGTCTCTTCACAGCAACAGAACATTGACCAGGACATCCACGCAGCGAAATATGGCCTGAAAATCTCCTCTCTGACACTGACTTTCATAGCACTAGACGGCAACAGAAAAGCTTCCAAAGAGGGAAGCAACAGATATCTCTACCCATCTACGACACCTATGAAGCACAGCAAGGACGAACATGCCCTGTAACCCTAAGGGAGCAGGAGAGGCGTGATCCTGTAGTAACCAAATCGCTCTAACCGAATGGAAGACCCACTCAGTGGGAGGAAACTCGTTTCTGGTGGAGGAAGCGCAATCAACTGTCCGCAGCTGGTGAGGAGAAGGACCTACCGCCCCCACTTTACACAGAACCCCCAGCCACGTTCTAAACATGTGTCCTCCTAATCACAGATGAGTGTAGCGTTCACCCCTTAGACTGAGCCCATTGCAGGCCCAGCCTTGGATGTTAGGAACTGCAGTGGCGAGGGGGCGGGGCCTCGCTGAGCACCCTCCTCCCAGCACCCACCCTGGGCTGGGCACCTCAGCGGGCTCGGCCACCCTCCCCTCCACTGCCTCCTTTCAGCCTTGTCGGGGGTCTGCGGTCTCCGTCACAGCGGAGGCCGCACGTCACAGAGGCGGCCCCTCCGTCGCAGCCGTCGCAGCCCTCACCCTCCGCTCCCTGCCCGCGGGGTCCCAGAGTGCGGCCCACCATGGCTCTGCTCAGTGCGGCAGCCCGGCTCTGGAGAGCCAAGAATTCATCCTGTCTCGTCCTTGCCGCCCGGCAAGCCAGTGCTTCTTCCACGAATTTGAAAGAGGTGCTGGCCCATCTGATACCTAAGGAGCAGGCCAGAATTAAGGCCTTCAGACAGCAACATGGGAAGACAGTGGTGGGCCAGGTCACTGTGGACATGATGTACGGCGGCATGAGAGGCATGAAAGGAATGGTATATGAAACTTCCGTGCTTGATCCTGATGAGGGCATCCGCTTTCGAGGCTACAGTATCCCTGAATGTCAGAAAATGCTCCCTAAGGCTAGGGGTGGGGAAGAGCCCCTGCCGGAGGGCTTATTTTGGCTGCTGGTAACTGGACAGATACCAACAGAGGAACAGGTATCGTGGCTCTCACAAGAATGGGCGAAAAGGGCAGCTCTGCCTTCTCATGTGGTCACCATGCTGGACAACTTTCCTACCAATCTGCACCCCATGTCTCAGTTCAGCGCGGCCATCACAGCCCTCAACAGCGAAAGTAAGTTTGCCCGAGCCTATGCAGAGGGAGTCCATCGCACTAAATACTGGGAGTTGGTCTATGAAGACTGTATGGACCTGATTGCGAAGCTAACCTGTGTGGCTGCAAAGATCTACCGGAATCTTTACCGGGAGGGCAGCAGTATTGGGGACACTGACTCTAATCTGGACTGGTCCCACAATTTTACCAACATGTTAGGCTACACTGATGCTCAGTTCACCGAGCTCATGCGTTTGTACCTCACCATCCACAGCGACCATGAGGGTGGTAATGTCAGTGCCCACACCAGCCACTTGGTGGGCAGCGCCCTTTCAGACCCTTACCTGTCCTTTTCAGCAGCCATGAACGGGCTAGCGGGGCCTCTCCACGGACTAGCAAATCAGGAGGTGCTTGTCTGGCTAACACAGCTACAGAAGGAAGTTGGCAAAGATGTGTCCGATGAGAAATTACGAGACTACATCTGGAACACCCTCAACTCAGGACGGGTTGTCCCGGGATACGGTCACGCAGTTCTAAGGAAGACTGACCCACGGTATTCCTGTCAGCGAGAGTTTGCTCTGAAACATCTACCGAACGACCCCATGTTTAAGCTGGTTGCTCAGCTGTACAAGATTGTGCCCAATGTCCTCTTAGAGCAAGGGAAGGCCAAGAACCCTTGGCCCAATGTCGATGCTCACAGCGGGGTGCTGCTCCAGTACTACGGCATGACGGAGATGAACTACTACACGGTGCTGTTCGGAGTGTCGAGGGCGCTGGGGGTGCTGGCGCAGCTCATCTGGAGCAGAGCCCTAGGCTTCCCTCTGGAAAGGCCCAAGTCCCTGAGCACCAATGCTCTGATGAAGTTTGTGGACTCTAAGTCAGGGTAAACTGGGAAACTGGGGAAACTGACTATGAGAGGACCAGGAAGCTTAAAAATAAAAGTAAAATTTTGTTTCAAGGGCCTTTGAAATTTAAGATTAAACTGGATCTGAGGCACTGAAAATATATTTGAAGTTAAAATATAAATTAAGACTTAAAAGACGGCAGTGACCCCATCTTCCCTCTCCAGCTCACTTCTACCTGGAATGAGTTTCCCACCAACTATAGGACAACGAGAACTAATGCATGCGGTCAGGGTTAGATCTGCTTCCCACCAGCTCTAGGGTGAGACTTCGGCTCCTCTTTGGTTAGGTTGAAGCAGGTTACAGAAAAGTTGCAGTCACCCTGTGAAGCTATTGCTTCCACTCTGCCAGCCCTCCAAGTCATTTAGGCCCGGGCCAGGCCCTCTTTGTTTCCGCAGGAATCATTTTGGATATCAGCAGTGTCAAATCCTAGGGCCTTTTGCCATGAACACAAGCGCCTATTGGTTAGCTGGAAACACTTAAAAACTTTTTAATCTATCAGGCATGGTATTTATCGTGAGTGTTACTTGGCATTTGATCCTATTCCTCCTTTTAGATTACATAATTTAAGGTCTGGGAGTATTGTGTTTCCTTCCAGGCTTTTTATATCTGCTGTGCCTCAAGCCAAGGGTGCTCTGGGCCTTTCTCTCTGGCCTCTGCTAAGGACCTCTTCCAGCAGGTCTGTCTGATCTGTGGTCTTCCCAGTTATTTGGCTTTATCAGTACAATGTGAACTAGGCCTTGTACTTCCATGGAACATAAGCCACTGTCTTCTGACCTTGGTTTCTCCTGTTAATATGCTCTAGCATAGAACAGGGCCTCAGGAATGCCCAGCTTCTTTGTGGTCTGATCCCTGGATAGCCTTTCTTTTTGAACAGAAAAGGGATTTGCGATTAGACATAGTGTCCATTGACTATCATATGACCTAGGGCTGGGGCATTCAAAACAGCAGGCCTTCTTTCCATCCCCTGCAACAAGGAAATGGCCTTTTATTTATCAATATCTCTCTTGCTCTGATTTCAGTAATCACTTTAGCAGCCCCACTTACACCGATTTTCAGTGACTCAGAATGCACTACTACCTTTCTTTGAGAAAGGGTTGAGATACAGTCCTCTTGTGCCCCTTCTGTACCCCAAAACTCCCGCCTGTGTTTGTGTGGAACCCACCCCAGCCGCACCCTGTGGAGATGGACACACTGTAAACCCGTGGGTAATGGTCAGTCATGATGCAGACGTCAGGTTGTGTATAAAATGAAAAAGAACTGGTTTTATTAACAATGAAAAAAAAAAAAGAATTGCAGTGTCCTCTTGGCAATTTTTTCTTAATGAGTGGCTAATGTCCTTCCATGTCTCTTCTGATATGCTTGGGCTGAAGTCTGTTTTTGTCACTTAACATCACCTTGTTTCTTAGGCCATTTGCTTGGGACATCTTTTTCAATCCCTTTATACTAAGGTGATTCTATCATTGGTGTTAAGGTGTATTTCTTAATGCAACAGCAGGTTGGATCCTATTGTTTAACCCAGTATGTTAGTCTGTGTCTTTTTATTGGCAAATCGAGACCATCTAAATGTAGTGAGAGCCCAATTCTCTTTTTAATTCCTATTATTTTGTTGTTTTAATTTTTAATTCCTATTATTTTGTTGTGAGGTGTGTGTGTGTGTGTTTTCCCTCTTTTCATTTGCTGGTCTGGGATTATTTCTTGTGTCTTATGGGTGTGGTTAACCTCTTTAGGTTGGAGTTTTTTCTAGTGCCTTCTGTAGGGTTGGATTAGTAAACACATTGCTTAACTTCACTTTTTATCATGGAATGTCTTATTGTCTGCATTTATTGTGATTGAAAGTTTTGCTGAGTATGGTAGTCTGTGCTGGCATCCATGGTCTTTTAGAGTTTATAGAGGATCTATCCAAGCCCTTCTGGCTTTCATAATCTCATTGAGAAATCAGGTGTACTTCTAACAGGTCCGCCTTTGTGTATGTGTGGTGTATTATTTTTGTTCTGTGTATTTAGTGTTTTTATTATGTGCTAAGGGGACTTTCTTGAATGGTCCAGTTTATTTAGTATTCTGTATGCTTTTTATATTTTATAATGTGTATCATTAGATTAGGGAAGTTTTCTAATTTTGTTGAAAATATTTTCTGTGCTTTTGACCTTGGTGTCTCCTCCTTCCTCTATTCCTATTATTCTTAGATTTGGTCTTTTCATGGTGTCCCAGATTTCCTGGATGTCCTGTGGCAGGAGTTTTTCAGATTTAACATTTTCTTTGACTGAGGTATCCATTTCTTCTGCTATGGCTTCAGTCCCTCTTCCATCTCTTGTATTCTGTTGGTGAAGCTTGCCCTCTGAGGTTCCTGTTCAAGTTCCCAAATTTTTTATTTTTAGATTTCCCTCAGTCAGTCAGGTTTTCTTTAATGACTCTATTTCTTGAACTGTTTTTCATTTTTCATTTCTTTACTGTTTTTATTTTTTTATTTTTTGTGCTTTCATAGATTCTTTTTAATGGGGATTATTAACTTCTTCTTTAGGGACCTCTATCATAGTCATAAGGCTGTTTGAAGGTCTTTTTCTGGTGCTTCAGCTATAGTGTATTGCTCAGGGCCTGCTGTGGTAAGGTTGCTGGGCCCTAGTGGAGATATATTATCCTGGCTGTTCTGGTGTCGAGGCATCTGAGTTTGGGAACATTGTGATTCTAGGTGCTGACATCTGCTCCTGTCTTTGTTGGGATAGCATTTGTTCCTTGGTCTCTGTTGCCCTCTCAGGTTCTCAGGTGTGTATGATGACTGTGTGTTGCCTGGCAGGAAATTTTTCTCGGATCCTGAGAGGTGTGGCCATTGGGGGTTGCAAGTAAAATTGGGAGCTAACAAATAGGAACTGGGAATGAGCTGAGGGGAGGGAGAACCAGGGGAGTCATAGGATGGAGGGAAGCAGGGTGTTCCACCGGAATCTGCTTAGTCCTCTGGGTACAGGGGCAGAAGGTGAGGAGAGCCCTCAGCAGGTTGGCTGCTACAGATCTGGGGGTGAGACTGGGGGGCTGGACTTGGAGGAATGGAGGCAGACCTGGAGATCTGCATTTAGTCTGCCTGTGTGTGTCCCGGGCCAGAGTGGCCTCTGGGTTCCAGTGCCTCTGGGGTGGGAGCTGAGATAGAACAGTGAGAGAGAGCAGGGAAGTTTGGAGGGGCAGATCTGCGTGAGCCACTGGAGATGTAGCAGGGGGAGGAGAGGCAGCAGCAGGAGGTGTGCAGCAGAGCCGGGGAGGAGAATGGGGGTGGATTTAGAGGGACTTAGGACCGGTGAGCATCTGCAGTTAAGACTGTCTGCTTTCCGCTCTCGGCACCTCCTGGAGGAGCACACTTGTTATCCGAATGACTGTGCGATGTCCCCCGCGCTTTCTGAACAGAACGTGCTAAAGGAGGAGGATTCTGTCACTGCCGGGCAGTGCTCTATGCACCGAATATTTTTAAAAAGCAGTGCTCTGGTTTAAGATCATCATGAGATTCTGAGTTTTTCCTCAAGATTTTTATTTAAAAAAAAAAAATACCATGGCTTTTTCACCCACTCCCTTGGCTGTTTCTAATGTGTGGTTTACCATTTTATAGCATTTTCCTTCTTCCAGACACTAAATGATAGCATTCCTCAAAATCCCACCCCAGCCCCGATGGCCATCTTACTCAGGGCTTTTTGCCAAAGCAGAACTCCTTCCACCAAGCCTTCAATCACCACCTTCATTCACAGCCTACACTCCTTCCTGAGAAGAACTGTGAAACTCACTGCCCACTTGACACTTCTACTGAGAAAATGCAAAAACACTACCTCAGACCCAGCGTGTTCCCAAGCCAGCTTATGTCTTCTCTGCCCCAATCACACTTTGCTATCTTTCTTCCCTCCCTGGAGGCCATGTTGGGCTGGTTGCTATCATATTTCCCTTTTCTCACTTTCTCTCTCTCCTCCCCCCCATATCTATTTGTTACTGAATCCTAGCACTTTTTCTATAAATACAAAAATCTTACTGCCTTCTTCCTCTGTTTTGACCAGTGTAATAGATACCTTCATGATTAAATTATCCTAGGATATACTCACTAAATATAATAATTTTATACTTATACAATCCCAGATGTTGTCATAACCGCTTTTTCATTATTAACATTTTCAACTTATCCATTAAATTGTATATATTACTGGGTCTCTTTGTAAAACTGAAATATATATATATCTGTATATAAATCAGGTAAGCAAATACATGACTCCTGAAACATTTATCATTGTTAATGAACATATTCAAAAGTCTCTTAGCCTTTTAAAACCATATACATACACAGTATTGTTGTCTACAGTTACTGTTCAGTGACACGTCCAAATTTTCCTCTCTTGCCTGTAGCTTACTACTCAGTAATCCAAGCCTTCTTGTCCTACATTCCCCCAGTCTTTGCGGGTAACTGCAAACCTGTTCGCAACTTCTTAGTGAAGAATTCACATGTTAGTGAGACTGTGCAGCGCTTGTCTTTCTGTGCCTGGTTTGTTTCACTTGCTACAGCTGTCTCCAGTTGCAACCACATTGCTCTACATGACAAGGCTTCCTCCTCCTTGTTAAAAGAGGCCTTTCTGTTTCCCTCCTTTTCTTGATCCATTGCTCAGCTGATAGGCACTTAGCTTCTTTTCATTTTATATCTAATTGTGATAATGCTACAGAAGTCATGGGATACAAATCTCTCTTCTACAAAGGAATTTCATATTACATATATAACTAAACCATATCCTATTTATCATGTAAGCACATATATTCAGTAGTGAATAATAATCACTTCTAATTAATTACTTCATAATTTCTCAAGAGCACTCAACAAAAGTATTATCATTGCTTTATTTAAGACAGATATTTATGTTCAAAGAAGCTAGCTTTCCCAGTCACCTAACTACAATTCTTTCTACCTCAGACCTTGTCAGAATCTCTCTCTCTCTCTCTCTCACTCACTCTCTCAAACACACACACAC